GCTTTAACTAATACTGAGTTACTGGTGTGCCACTGATGGTATCCAGTAGTTATTGAATATAAACCTGAATGTTTGTGTCCTCCAAGTCTTTGCCTCAGTAATATCTTTAAATATGTAATAGTCTCTGCCTGTTGGCTTGTTTTCTCATAGGGAGGGTGACAGAACATTTTGTGTTCTCTTATCTTCAATAGCAATGAAACAGGAGGAGCTCCACAATGCGAAACCAAATCTACTGCTATTAATACAACATCCCAGCCACAGAGAGGAGATTTGTTTATTTACCAAAGCTAGAGATGCCTCTCTCTGACCTTTCCAGAGCTTGTATGCTTTAGCTGGGAATAGATTCTTCAGAACTGGGCGCTCTCTTAAAAATATACAGTAAAAAACATACACACACACCCCCGAAACAGAGCCCAGGCTGCAGCCGAAATTGCATAAAATGACACACAGCTTTGGATAGTTAGAGTGAGTCTAACTAGGGCACAGTCCATATTCAGTTTTGATTCCTTTGCTAGAGCACAGAGATCACTCAGCTTTGCAAAGCCCACTCGCCTTCCTTGCTGCCACTCAGCGACACGTTCAGCTGATATAACCATACATGGGCCCATTTTCTGTCTCAGGCCTAACAGCTCTCTGCAGCCCAAGAAACCTGCCAGGATGGATCTTCTTCTTTGCAGAATTATAAAGTGCTTCAAACTGTAAGGTATTTGTTTAAAAAAAAATAAATAAATCTGAGCCAGAGATTGTCTTCTCGTGGAATTTGCCCTGCTTTACCTGTGCTTTAAACCAGTGAAAATCATCCCATACACACACAAATCAAACATTTTTGAACTAGATTTTTCACAGTTGGTTGTATTTACTGACCTGTCTGTACAACTTAAAATAGTATCTGCAAGAGTTAAATCTTGCATTAGCATTAGGGATTCAACCTGGTTTAACCTCACAGACTCAGGATCTATTTGGTTAAGCTGGTGCATCTCTGACACAGCAAGAACCCAGAGTCCTCCACAGCTCCCTTCAGTGATCCTTGCTGGACAGGCTCACATTTAATATCCCCAGCCCTCTGCTCTCCAGAAGCAGCTGCCCTGCACCACAGTTGACAGAAAGGAGTGTGGGTTGGCTCCTCAACCATCTACTTCTCCAGCTCAGAACATTAATTCAACTTACCACCAATTTTGGTTCCTGCTCCGTGACTGATATTTTAGTCTAAGCAGACAAACAAGTGAATTCCAGAAGCAGATCTGGGAGTAGGAAACCAAGGAATGAACTAGCCCTACGTGTCCTGATTCAAAAGTAATAATCCCTAAACAACATAAAGGAAAGCAATAGTTATGCCATCTCCTCCTCCAGCTGAGTTATGACAGAAGGCAGCACAGTCCTAGCAAGACCCAGACTTATCGGGCAGCTGTCAGATTAGCCCTGAGCTTGCTTAAATAACCCTCCAGAGACGGGTGTTCTGCAGGCTCAGTCTGGGTTTAAGGCACTGCAGTGGGTTCCCTGCTCTGCTCCCCCTGCCCTCTGCCATCCCTCAGTCATGCTGGCCCAGTGCTCCTGAAGCAGAATTCCAAAAGCCACTCACCTGAAAAGTAATTCAGGGATAAAGGTCAGCCAGCCCCATTCAGTGCTCAGTGCTCAGTTCCCGGTGTGACTGCCCTGTCTGCCAGCTACACTGGGAACTTGCTTGTAGGGCTGAACTCTGAAACTACCTGGTTTAAATCAACTTTTTCTACCCTGGATGAGTTTCCAGTGCCTGTAACCACACAGTGAGGAAGGATAAAGGGATGGAAAGCAGGAGCAAAGTGTAGGGTGGGGGCACAACTTCTTCTTTTGGCAGAAGTACCAGATATGGGGCAGCTTGTTTGTTGAACTACGTATTATGTCACAGTCTTGTTTTAATTATCATTTTACTATCATTGTTCTCTAGGCTTTACATAAGGGCTGTGGTTTTACCATAGAAATCATCTGTAGAATTAGAAATATAAGGCAAGAGTCTAAAATAACTGTCTTTTCTCTACAACCATTGGGCAAAATTATCTACAATAATATTATTCTCAACCACACGGCAGCTTGGAAGGCCAGAAAACTGTCTTTAATTACTCTAGAAATTATTTCACACTCTTGAAGGAACTGGTTTAGCAGTGATGCATCCCCTCATGCTCTGACCAACTTCACACTTCATTTTTTATCCAAATCTAAGTAACAGGCTTTGGGGACCTTGTCTGTGTTCCTTCCTACTCAAGTCTGTTCCCATCTGCCTGATCCCCTCAGTGACTTTAGAATACTTCTTTTGTGTCACCAGAGCTACTGCTGCCTCCCAGTCAAACTTCCCACACCCATCTCTCAAACTGCACTCCCTGCTTTTGCATGTTCAGTTTCTGTTTCTGCAAGTGCATGAATAAGGGTTTGGTTGTGTGCACAAAATTTACTATGACCATTTTTACAATTTAGGTTCAGGCAGAGAACTCTGTACACATGGCAAAGCTCTGGCTCCGTGGGAAATCGTCAAAAGGCATCTGATCCCAGGAATTAGGGGAAAGTTTTGTGAGGAACCTGTGGAAAAGGGTCCCTCACCCTGCCTGATTCACAGCTGGGGTTTCTCCCTGGCAGTTGAGACCGGTGATGTGAGAGGTTAGACAGGAGTGGGAGCAGATTCCTGTGGGGCTTCACCAGCCAAATTCCTATCTAGGAAAAGGTTGCTACAGCAACTCTGAGCCTCCTGAGATACAGAAATTATTGTAATGGCTGCTGAAATGCCTCCCCACTGCTCTCAGACAGGATAAGGAAAATCCTCCCCTTTGATACAGAACGGTTGCCCACTGCCACACTTCACACCAGCTCTAAACAAGCACCAGGTTTCCTGAACTTTCCCGGGAGCTGATGGATACTTTACCCTTTCCCAAATGCAGTTCCTCATTTATATGTAATGCAAACATAGAAATAATAAACCTAAACATCACAAAACAAGGACTTCAGTTCCAACACCTTTTTTTTCCCATGGAGACTGTAAGAGAAAAAACAAATCATATGGCAGAAGTTAATATTCTGCTGAGTGGGCTGGACAGAATATAGAAACCTGTCCAAAGCCAAAATATGTCTTTTCCAGACTAGAGTTTGTGGTTTTCGAAAACCACATAGATGGAAAAAAACATAAACAAAGCAAACCAGGACAAAACCCCTCAGAGCTCCTCAATGACTGTCAGCAGGTTTTTGGCTGCCCCCAGCCTGTGCCTGTTTTCCTCTGGCATCTGGCCCATTCACAGGTCGTTCAGTCCACTGGACTGTGTAATAAATACCAGACAGAGATGATGCTTTAGACAGAACAGGAACACTTGTGACTGAAACAGGTCCTGAATTGAGAATGGGGTGGCCTGAGGACAATCAGAGCATAAAAACAGCCAATGGTGTACACTGTAAGTGGAAAAACTTTCTCCAAACTGTTCCCGTTTCCCTTTTTTTCACTCCTCAATAACCCTGCTTGGTCTAGAAGCCAAAGCTGAAACAGCAGGATCAATGTTGTGAAGTAGTACCTGTGCTTACCTGAAATAACTGGATGTTGCTTAAAAGTATTTCTTTAAAAACAGGAATCATAACTTTTGAACAGATGCTCAATTTAAACCTCGTGTGGCATTTTGGCCACAACAAAAAGGACCAAATTCCCTTGGGAATAAATTTAATCAAATCGATGAAGTTACCTCCTGGTTGAATTTGGCCCAACATGCCTAAAACATCCTTTGGGATTGTTCAATTCCAAGTGTTGCACTAATCCAGTCTCCTGCAGTTCCTGAAGGCTATAATGTTTGGTGTCAGCATATGGCATTTTAGACATTTTGACACAAGTTCGGTTTCATTAATAGAGTATTTCATTGCTTTCTTACCTTTTGCCAGGTCTGTGAGCTTTTGGATTAGCCCTGAAAAGCTCGAGAACAAACTCTGCTTTCAGTATGACAAAATATCTTGCTCAGGTCAGAGAAAATTTTTTTTTTTTACTTCTCTCAGTTTAGTGTCTGCTGTGAAGATGATTCTCAGAGATCAAGAAAAGCATATAATGTTTAAAACAAAACATTTGTTAACCAAGGATTTCCTGGATATTTCTGCTTTCTTATTTATACTATGTCGTGGACCTTGTGAAATCACTGTTTAACTTTCAGTATTATTTATGGAAGCAAGCCTGTAGCTGTTTCCAGATCTTACAGAGAACCTTCAGTTTGCAGTTTCAGTACCAGGTGCATAGTCCTGGCTTAAATTAATCAACTAAAAAGCAACATACAGTAAGCACTTAACCCTCTCATGCCCTGGCTGAATCTTCACAGGTAGGATCTTTTCCTACCTCGAAGTTCTCTCATTAGAGTCAGGTTCCTGAATCTTAGAAGCTCCTCTTCTACGACAATTTAGAATTTGGGAGTGCAGCAGAGGTGAATACTAATTTTGGGGCATTTCCATTGTGCACAGAGAGAGATGTGAAATATTACCCCCTCAGTTATAGATAGAAAATGCCTAAGCATGGAAACAGATTCTAGGAAATGAACAATTTTTATGAGGTTTTGCCTGCTGCCACTATTGATCAAAAGTCTTCAATCCACAATAGAGAGAGGCAGACAAGGAGTAATGATTCAGTGCAGTGAGTGTGTGTGCTAAATCATTATTAACCTCTGTGCTGTCACTGTGACTACTCTGACTTACAACCACGGGGGAAAAATCAGCTGCAAGTGGAACCCTCCTCAGCACAAGGGCCCTGGATTTGCAGGCTGTAGCATTATGTGCCATCATTCACAGCTGCATAAACCAAGTGCAAAGTAGTTTTTGAATGTTAGCAGGTCAGAAACGAACGTTTTACATTCATTTGCATGAGCAGAAATGACCTGCTTGTGGGAAGCTCACGTGGCTGCTGGTAATGGTTGCACAATAAGAACTATAATGAAGGGAAAAGGATGAGAGAGAACAATAATAAGTAACTAATTTAAAACTCTGCTCAGGTTCTCCCTTACCTTACAGTCTTGTTGACACCTGTAGCTTTATGTCACATCACAGAAGATACATGGGATCATTGCTCAGGCTTCACACTCACACCAGCACCAGGTAAATCCACTCAGGGAGCTCCTGGGATGACACATAAAGGTTATAAACTGATGATGGTGGGATGGAATATCGTCACTTACCAATTTTTTTTAAGACTTGGTAAAATTCATCCCAAAGTCTTTATCTAAAAGAGAAAGTATTAAGGCTGCAAAGTCAGACGCTCACTGAAATTAGAAAATTTCAGAGTTAGAAAAAGCAGCCAGGAATCCTGTAATTAAAGATTCCTTTAGGGCATATACATGGAAAGGCAACCTTTATTCTGGCATTTTCTAACTTCAGTGTACTTGCAAATTATGCACATTTTGGCAAAGATTTTGTATCTGTAAAATGTATATATTATATATAGAACTGAATTAATCTCTGATATGTCTCTGCCTCATAAATACAGTTTCCTGTTTCCATGTTGGAATCTACAGCATTATCATATTCACATGCCAGTTGCTGGATTTATTCTTGATAATCCAAAGGCTGAGCCTGGACGTGGCTCAGCCTCTCCAAATTTCAGTCTTATCTGGCATTTTTCCTAAGTCACCCAGATAAATTATCTCAATGTCCCGAGGGAAAGTGATTCTCTTGTCCAGGGGCTCTGGAGAGCTCCAATTTTTTTTTCTTCATCTGACACACAATTATGAGCTCAAGTGCTAAGACTGATGAACAGATTTTTTTTTCTTTTCCACTGATATAATTTTTTAAATGTGTAATGTTTTACCAAGACTTTGAAATAAAAGAAGTAGTTTTAAAAACACTGAGTTAGCAAGAGTGTGGCAAATTTATTTCAGTGTGCAACAAGCCACATAAAGAAAGACCAACACAGTGAGTCCGAAAATAATCTTCCTGTAGAATTAGAAAAGTGGAAGAAAGGCTGGAGAAGGAGACCCACTAATCGTCTTCTTGCAAGTCATATAAGAACATGACATATTCATTTGCACTTGAACAGATTATTTTGTTCTCCAGAAGAAAGAAAGAAAAAAGTTTCCTATAAATTTTTTCCCATAAATTAAATAAATGAGCTAACAAATTAGAAAAGAAAAAAAAAGAGCGTATTTAACTTCAATTGCATTCAAATTTTGAATTATAGACGTGGCTCATTTTCATTCCTGTCCTCTTTCTGTGATAGAATGTTCTGCAAAAGCAGTGAAACTGCTTTTTGTAGCTCCCTTTAAGTGGAAGTTACACAAACACTGGTCCCATTTAATTCAGTGAAAACTGAGGCCCCTGTTCGACCTGAGAGCAGAGCACAGAACCTTCAGTATTCCACCTGCACACCCATTCCACAGCCTCCTTCCCTCTTTCCTGCCCAGGTACACTTCCAGGGAAAAAAAAAAAGGCAGGCACAGCACGAAGCATCCTCTGACATACTCAGAGAACTGATGTGTCCACTGAAAACATATTTCCAACATGCCAAGAACACGGACCATGTTTGGGTCAGGAGATCCTGCCTGCTCCCAGTGAGAGGTTAATGGAAGACGATTGTGTCCGTTTGCTGCTGTTACTCAAATATCACTTCCTTATGACAACATGCATTACTTAATCTGCAAAGGTCAATGAATTGCTCTTTAGTTCCTTCCAAATGCCTCAGCAGTGAACTTTGTCATTTTTAATACACATTTCTCAGCAAAGAACTGGTGGTACAGGTTTGAGGCTTAGAATGATTCTGCACCTGCAAACACCTTTCACTGCACTGTATTACCAGCACTTCCCACACAGCTTTAGAACTGCCAGGCCTAAGCAGAAGCTCCCCTGTAGAGTTCACTCTCAATTTGCACAAGATAAGCAATAACAAGTTCAATTATTACTCTTTTTTTAATCTTCTTGCAATATAAATGATCAGCCAGAGTACTGAATGTGAAACAGAAACACAGAGATGTAGGAAAACTGAGATATGTTATCAACTGCAGTGTGACCATGGTGAAGAGCAGTTCAGATGAGCAACTTACTCTGCATTAGATCACTTAAAAAAAGAGGTGGACACAGTGCAGGTCAACAGCTTGTCAGAAGTGCATAAATGCACAGAGAATGGTATGAATGAGCACAGCCCTAATCCTGGGAGATGGACCCCACAGCTGCTGACTCCCCTTTTCACCCACGGGGGTCTCCCCTGGAACCAGGCATGTTTGTGTGGATCTCCAGAGCCTCCAGGTTTGGGGATAAATCCTGACCCAGTAGGATAGTTTGAATAGCACCAGAAATCTCCCTGCAGCACCAGGACTGCAGGGTTTAACTTAGCAGGTAGTGGAATGCACAAGCACAGCACAGAGACAAGACTGGGGAATTAGGCTGCTGGCAAGTAGCAGCTGAAAGCTGATTGAACACAACAGATTGGGCTTTCAGACTGGACAGATAGGCAGCAGCTATTTAAATGGAGCATTAACAGTTTTGCTCTTAATTATTTCCAAAACTCCCAGCTAATGCAAACTCAGTATGACATGTATTTTGGCCTCAATTAATTATTTGCTGTTTCTGTGGGAATGCAGTTAAAATAAAGCTGAGTGGTTTGTTGAGAATTTCTGCCTCTTTAAAGTAATTCTCTGAAGTGCTTGGCTTCTTTCTGCAAACAGCTGTCATGGAAGTAACTGAATCTTTACCTCACAGAAACGTTCACTTTCTCCATTTCAAGTGGAATTTCTTTCTGAAATGACAGTGCCCTGCAAGCCAACAAATGGTCCCCGCTCTGCCCAGTGGCAGGTGGAAGGCCATGGAACTCCAGAGCTAAATGTGGAAACTTTATGCCTTCAGAAAAGAGAGATTCCTATCTTGCCTATCTTGCATCTTATTTTTTTGGTCTGGGAGGATCTGACATTGTGGCATTTCTACATCTGGGATAGCTACTTCTAGAATTTTCTAGAAGTATATTACTAGGAAGTTTTATCGCAGATACTTATGTAGTTTGTCCTGTGAAAGCCACAACAGCTGGTTTACACCTCAAAGAATAAACAATTACTAATAAAAATGTCAGACCTCTCCCAACCACCTCTGAAATAAGAGAATGACCTTCCAAAACATGTTTCAACAGGCTGCTTTAATGCAGCTACTTCCAAAAGAGCTTTGTTCCTGTATCTGTATTTTCTATATATGCTCCTTGATATTCACTCTGTATAAAATACCTGGGATCTCTCATCAATACTAATCCAATATGGATCCAGACACACAATAGCACTTGTGATAGATGGGACAGAATGCACTGTGTGACATTTATTCAGCTTGTGAGAGGACAGGCATCTAAAGATTATGGCAGCATAAAATAAAAGAGGTTAATGTAGACAACACATGATCCAGAGGGAAGAACTGCTGGCTGGCACAAAGCCAACCCATCCAAAAATCTGACACATGTTTCTACTGTCATGGTGAATTTATAGCCTGAGATTTTGATATTCTCTTCCATAAAAACCCCATTCAATGTCTCCTTTTTATTTCATTACACTTAGGAGAGGGAGAATGTCCTCTCCCCAAATTGAAGTGAGAATGAATTTAACTGAACCTCTTTTCTAATCAGAATAATTGAATTGATCCTTCTTTGAGCCAAAACAGCAAAAAACCAAACTACTGGTACTGCTTTGGTGTACCATGGCCTTCAGGCCTCTTGTTTGGATGATTCAGAAGGAATCAAAATGTACACAAACAGTAACAAAACCCAACTTTGTATGTGTCAGCCAGGACCAAACAAAAGGATTTAACTGGAAAGTCTTGGTTTCCAGCGGCGACCACAGTTTTTCAAGCAAAAATTGTTCATGTATAAAGCAGTTGAGATGAGCTGCACACATCCCACACCACATGGACAGACAACCCTTTCCCATCAGCCATGATGTCTGTACAGAAAGAAACAGAAGCAACAGAAGTTGTTCATGGTTCCAGCACCCAAATTCAGCATGAAATGGCTCTAAAATGCCAATTCCAGTATTCTGAGGCCTTAACAGATGTCACAAGGTAGAATCAACTTGTCTCAATGTACGAGGACATTGGATGCTCCAAATTTTCTTACGGATGATGAGCATCCCCAGGTTTTGAAGGAATACCTGCCAGGTTCCCACAGCTCAGTGATTGGACATCTTTTAAAAAGTGGTGCTTGCCTTTAAAGGTCAGTTTAATCAGGGAGATGTCCCTGCTTTGCAGAGCAGCGGGGAGTTCTGCACAGCAAATATGAATTAGCAAATCCACTTATCCCCTCCTACAGTTGTCATAAACAGGTGCTACGTGGATCCAGGCCAGAAACAATCCACATCTTTACCATTCTCAAGGAGATTTTCATTTGTCTTTCTTCTCAAGTCTTTTCTGTGACATCTGAAATAACTCTTGTATCTGCAAGGTAATCAAGTTCACATTTGGGAATGGTGCATGAACTCAACATGCTGCCCCGAGGCTCAGGCCTGAAGGAATTTCAACTGTGCAGAGATGGAATATGCAAAGACAGGAGGTGGTTTAACCCAGCAGGCACTAAACCCCACACAGCCCCTGCTCACACACCACAATGCACCAGCTCCTGGGGAGAAAATTAACTCTGTCCCAGCCAAAACCAGGACAGGGCGACATGGTGACATTGCTAACTGTGAGAATAGATGGGAATTGTTGGATTGGAGAGGCAGATGTGCATGGAAAACTGTACTTTTTGGAACAACGGTGCTTCTCACTCCCTTTGCACAGGTACAAAGAGCTCCACAAGTGTTGCTCCAGCTCGGTGCCGCCGGGAGCTCCCCAGGAGAAGGCAGCACCAACCAGTGCAAGGTGGAGCAGCAACACTGCTGGTTGTATTCCTTCAGTGCTGCAGAATTTCTGGCTGCCACACCTCAAGTATTCCTGGAGTACCTGGTGCTCCTCCTCCCCCTCCTGAGTGGCTGATTGGAGCTCCAATGTGGCCCTAATTTTGCAGCAAGTCTCAACAGGTAGAGTAAACAATCCCCAGCATTCCTGGCACAGCAGAGCAGACTGAGCAGGAATTGTCTTTTAGCAGTTGCTACCCACAAGAGACAGGCTATATTTTCCAGTTAGGAATTTTGGATAAAAGTTATGAACTCCAGATAGACAGTTTGCACTGTACCTTCCATTTCAGGTATAGATGTGAAAGAGATTCTTGAACAAGGCAGGACAACGTCTGAAAATGCGTTTGCTTTCTGTTTCCAGACACTGGAAAAAAAAAATCTGTTTTCTCCCCAGTGGAGTGAGCTTTAATCCAAGCTTCATTTCTCTAGTCCGTGGAAGGCAACATTACACAAATGTGTCCAAAAAGTACAGTTTGGTACTGTATGTTTTCCACATTTCCTGTGCTGTAAACAAGAAAATTAGATTGTTTAATTTTTTATTTTATTTAATTATGCTCTCATACCTCATATTTATCTCTTTGTCTGCCTATCACTATATTGTCACTGAATTTTGTTACTAAATGCCATTATTTTATTATAAAAATAGGGCAGGAAGAAAATAAAGCCCACATGGGCCAGTGTTAGAGTTAGAACTGTATTTTTTTAAAATTCAAATCCATTTTTCATTAAAAAAAATTCAGAATCTTCATCCACTATGCACTTGGATTTTAAACAGTATTTTGCCCAGTTCAAAGATTCTGTATTATGTCTCCAGCTGGCTTTTTCTTAGAGCTATACAGCTGGAGCACAAAAGTGTTCTGAAATGTCCCAGCTGAATTTCAAATGAATATCAGAAATAGGCAAGGATATACATGATACATGCAGAATATGTGTCTGGGGAAATCACAGAAGATCTAGTTTCCACTAGTTGGTTATACATAAATTATTTAGGCAGTAAGCCTGTTGATTAGCTGGAGGCAAAGATATCTATTTTAGATGTACTTATGGTCAGGATTAACTCATGAAACTTGGATGGCATTGTCCATGAAACAGCTAAAATCATTTCAGCAACCTCTTTCAAAAATCAGATAGTCTCTTTTTGTATCACTTTTTAATTTTTATAAATGATTTTTTTACTTTTTCCTTAACAAATAGGACAGGATTTTTGAAAATCATGTGATAAATGTCTTACAAAACTACACCAGAAACTATTTAGGGTGACTGGAGAAGAAAGAGGACTGGGAGCCAGGAGACCATTTCTATTTCTAGTTCTGCCATAGACTGTGTGACTGTGACTTTGAACCTCAGCTCCTGTTCCTGTGAAATGGGGATGAGAATCCTGTTCTCTCAGGGATGTTCTAGAACACAATTTTCATTTTCGTGGAGGTTTATGAAATGCTCGAAACCCCTGATTAGAAGCTGCAAATGCAAATAATAAATCAAATAACAACAACCACGGTATCAGCACTATTATTATTATTATTATTATTATTAATAATAATAATAATAATGATGTTTGTTAATGTTATTAATATTAAATTATAACCTTGACAGCATTGTTCTCAACCTGCACACAGCAGGAAAATCCTTGTAGCTCACTTCTAGGAACAGGAATGCTGCCGGCACAGTTTCAACATGGGAGTGGAAAAGAATTCTTCAAGTTCTCCATCTGAGCAATTGTAGGTGGTAAAATGAATATCTTTTCAATACTGCTTTGTGATATGGGAGCAGAAGCATCTTTAAGAGCTTAAAAGTATTTTTAAAATATGACTCAGGGGAGGTTTTCTTTTTCTAACAGAACCGGGGAAAAAAAAACCCACCCAGGAGTTAAACAATCTTTTAGAAATCCAAAACCTTGAAATAGAACGAGAATTGTAGGTCAGGATAATTTGAGTTCACATGCAACACCATTGACATATAATAAATCTATAAGAAGCAGAGATAACCAGATCTCTCATATTGGAAGCCTTGAGCTCTGAGAGATAAACCATAAGAATTTTTGTTCTGTGAGTGACCAAAAACTACCAGAGGTAATTTGGGAGGTTAAAGCCTCTTTGAAAATCTCTCATGTCTGTGAAACACTTATATAGGTTGTATTGAGTGGTAGAAATGAGGTGAGGAAGTGGAAACATAGCAGATCAATAAAACATTTAATCCACTAAAGGAAAATGTGTTCAGGCTTGGTTAGAGTCACATTAATAGGGAATGAAGACAGTCCAGCAGCTTGTCTTTTCCTCCTGCAGCCCATGTTAGGAAGCATTTGTGAAGGCCTTAGGAAAGGTAGGTGTCCTGGTTAGAACGGCTGGGACCAATTCATCCCTGGATGGGTGTAACCCAAAACTGTGTATTCTATAGCCTCCATGCCATTTCCCAAAAACTGCTGTCAGTAGAGGCCTGCAAGGTGGGAAGATGTTCCTGTACCCTTTTATGGAATTCCCTGCTCTGATATCCTTATATGGAATTCCCCGCTCTGATAAGAGGGACTGAGCATCCACATGCCCTTTTATGGAATTCCCTACTCTGAGGGAGGGACTGAGCACTCCCGCCTGAACTGGAGAGTATATAACTGGGAGTTTCAGAGCCTTGGGGCTCTCTCTCTCGTGGGACCCAGAGGAAGACAGCAGACCACCGCTGCTCCCAACCAGGCTGAGACCACCACCCTCGACTGGACTGCAATCACCACTTCTGACCAGACTGCAGCAGCTCTCCCACCAGCAGGTTTATTCCCTCTCCCTTTGCTTTGGACTCGGGGGGTGGGCCAAGGTACACCACTTTTGTTCATACCCCGGGGTGCTGGGTTTGTACATTTGGGTTTTGTGGATTAAAACCAATTGTCTGTCTGTATAATTGTACTTATTGCATTATTTTAATAAATTGTTATTCTGACTTATAAATCTCTCTTTTGAATTGAGTTCATTTTGCCTTGCTGGTTAACTTTTAAACCAGCACAGTAGGGGAAGGTGACAGACACACTGTAATTGTACCCATTAATCTTATCACAAAAATATTGCCTTTTAAAAAACAAAACCTGGTGGATTGCAGCTTTCACAGATTTCTGAGGGTTCAGACTGGAAGAATTTAGCTGGTGAACCAAACAGAGCATTTGGTTTCAATCCCTCATTTTGTCTTATTTCATGAGAGAGAAAAAAAATCACCTTAAAAGAATTTTATATTAAATAACCAGTAGAAGAGGTTGTTTGATGGTACACAAGAACTTTATCAGTGTCTGAAAACTGAAGTGTGTTACTTCACTGTGTTACTAATAACTACCTATGAGTTTGGAGGGAATCCTCCACAAGGAACACAGAAACTTCAGCTTGTGTCATATCACAAAGTGTCACACATCTAAGAGAAGTGGTAGTCATGTGCCATCAGTCCCAAACAAAGGCTGAAAATGGAGTCATCTCCATGACTAAGGGAAGCTTTTCAATCTTACATTATTGCTGCTCGCATGGAGTGCACCTGCATGTCTTCCCTTCAGTCTGGAAAAGTCAGACAATGTGACTTTTTACTGTGATTCAGCAAATCTGTGGAATGACAGACACCCGTGGCATGGTGGAGCTGTTCGTGTTACCGTGCTACAACACTGACAAAAAGGAAATATTGTTGTATAAACGCCTTGATAAACAGCCTCTGACGGGGTCAAGAGATTAAAAAAAGAAAGAAAAAGTTTCAAAAACAAGTCATTCAGATGGTTCACTTTAACTGAGGAGTATTATTGTACAAAGCCTGAGTAAATGAAAAGTGAAAAGATAAAAAATTGGCATTACTGAGCTACCTCCTGGTTGCACAGACTAATACAAATATATAAGAAGTGTAGCTGTTTGTACTTTTCTTGGACATCCTTTCCTTCATCCATCCTATCCCAGATGGGATCATGCAAAGCAATGTGCATGAGCACAACCCACTGTTTTGCTTTCAGTGTGTAAAACTGGTTTTGTTCCCAGGAATATCTATGAAGCAGGAAAAGAATTTGAATTTATAGTGTCCCTAGAGAGGGATACAATGGTACTATAAATCCAGAGCAATTATTGCCCTACCTTGTAGCTGGGAGTTTCCAGGACTTTTCATCAGCCCACCAAGGACCAGGGGAGCTCACCTGGCCCTGAGTAATATAAACAGTGCAAAATACATCCTGCAGAGAGTGAAAGGTAAACTCTAAATGCAACATTAGTATCTTTAACATACTCAAGAAACACAAAAAGAAACCAGTTTTAACACTAAGAAACAAGGCTGTGTTGTGTGTTCACGTGTCTAGTTTCAAACTGGTTCTGCTCTCTTGAGGGCTTCCAAACTGAAGCCACTTCTCTGCTCAGGAAGTGGTGGCCCACGTCCTGTAGGAAAATAATTCAACTTTTATTGCACTATGAAGTTCTACAGATCATAGTATACGGTGTGATCACAGCTATGACACTACAATTACCCATCAACTCATTGCAGATATAGAATACAGAGTAATTCTGTAACACCTTACAAACAACAAACTGCCATTTTAGAAATACTGTGCTTGGCCACACAGCCCCCCCCAAGCTCAGCAGGATCCTCAGCCCCTTCTACAGAGAGCAAAACTGAGATCCAGAAGCCCACAAGGAATATTTACATAGGGAAAAAATGGCAGCGAGCTGCCAAATTAATCAGAATTAGACCTTAATTAGATGGAAAATTCAGGTCAGGATGAGATAAGAATTCAAATCTCGTGGGCACCAACCAGTGCTTTATTTCTAAAGTTGTTGTGCATTTTTAAGATAACAGTCAAGATGATTCCTTTTCCAGAAAAACAACTTGGCCATCAAATATGGATAAATTACTTTTTTTAGATATGTAGTATGGATCTTGGTTCTGACATAATGTTTCTCTCTCCCATACTTTTAGATCTCCTACTGAAATCAGAATGGAATAGACAGAAAGATTTTTCCAAGCAGGGAAATGGAGATTATTGTGGCAAATACTCTAATGGAGTCTTCAGCGACAAACCAAATGACTATAAATAAGATAAAGAAATAAAATAAGAGATGTACCAACCCAAACTGTGATCTCTTATAGCTACTCTCACTGAGATCAGAATTCCAAGGCAGCAAGGAGCTGCTTTGTGCAGGAACAGTGATCCAGTTCTAGAAATCTCCCAGCAGCAACACTATCCTTTGTGTTCACGTTCTCTTGGTCTCTGTGGAAGTCAAATTCTACCTGCTGCTGATACAGGAACACACATTGCCAAGGAATAAAAATTATTCAGAATAAACTCAGATCACCTTAATTGTCAACATTCAAACTCATATTTTATCACTGATTTCTCTGCTGGGTTTGTGTAATTGTTTCATGTCAGGATTTTTTTGCATTTTGCTGTTTAAGCTATAAGCTTCTTAAAGGGGGAGAGAGGAAAAAAAACCCCTTGACATAATACCGTGAAATCAAAGAGCAAGCTGACTGGAAAAAACAGTTACTATATTTAAACTGCATTATCCTATGACAGAACTGCAGATTTAAAACCTTTCCACTTTGATACAGCACTTTTGCAGCATTTTAATGTGCCTGAGTAGATTTCAACTGGCTGAAACATTTTAATAACTGTAATTTCAGAGGAATAAAATAGTACCGTGGGAGGAAGAAACAATGCCCCCATTTGTCACTCATGAAGACTTGGATTTGAAATCAGCTAGGAAGACAAGAGCAATGAGTTTGGTGGTCTCAGCCTAAGCCCCATCAGGCAATTAGCCAGGCTGCAAAAATCATGACATAATTTGGCACAATTAAGCACAATATGATCACTTTGTCTATGTCCACTGAAAGAGATCCAGGCCTGAAATAATAAGGCTATTGCAGGTCAGCATTCAAGTGTATTGGCTCAACAACTGGCATTTTGTGTGGTGCCCTTCTCTGCTGTGTTTAGCTCCACTCAAAACTATTAATGTGGTTTGAAAATTGAGCTACAAAACGTATGTTTTTGTGTACAGCAAGAGACAATTCACATTATGATCAGTAACTCTGTTGTGAATCTGCTTTGCAGCAATAGGGATGACTTAATGTTATTGCAATTTGAAGGAAAGCATCCTGCAGTCTTCTCTCAGGCCAAATTCCCATTTACTTCAATTAGTAAGCATTACAGGAACTGTTTTAACGCTGCTGCCTGATGTGTTGGCTGCTTCTTTTTAATATATTACAGTGAAAAAAGATAGTAGGCCAAATGTATGAATATATCCTTCCATTATGCGAATGGAATTTCATCAAGGCCAAAGCTGCCCCATTTTGTTGTGTTGCTTTCTGAGGTACCGCTCTGAGGGGTTCCAGTCTAAAAACAAACTGCAACTTCACAGCAGCAAAATAAATCGATTTTCCTTCCTTAAAAAGGGAGAATGCAAAGCTCCCTGCACCTGCTGGGAGTATGAATCACCTGGAGCTTTCATGAGCTCGGTGCTTAAGGCAGAGCTGAGGTGCTATCACTCTGATTTGGGTCAAGATAACCATCTTCTTTAAGAGACAAGGCAAATGGCATCAGAAGCTTCATGAATCCTTGCAGAGCGATGGGAAACAACACTGATTTCAACTCACAATTCTAAATTTGTGTGATATCAAGTGATGCCAAATTTAGCAGGTACTGCTTCTGCGGCAGTGTCTACACGGGTATTTGTAGCGCATTCTGCACTGTTCTGTCTAGACCAAGCACTGTATCTGCAAATGTTCTTCAAAAGTGTAGCTGCCAGAAGATTTGGAAGGTATCACCTGCAAAGAAATCCTCATTGGTCAGCAGGATCAGTCTTGCACATCTGGGGAAAGACAGGGAAACAACGGTGGAGGAAACGCAGAGGTTATTCTGCTCTGGGGGAGAAAGAACTGTAGAACGATCCTTAATTCAGTCATTCTTCTCTCAAAATTCCCTGAACCATAACACAACACATGACAGAAATAAACACAGGCAGAGAACCGTCCAGAATCTTCCCAGATTTTATGTTGGGTCTATGCTCAAAAAGGAAAAAAAGGGGAAGGATGAAGTCATCTAATATTAATGCATGAGAGAGAAACAATGAAAGTGGAGTTTACAAACTTTGGCTGAACTAGTGGATCCCAGAGAATACCAAGAGTTCTCCAGGATTCACTAGAATGCAAGCTCTCTTTGCCTTCCTAGCAGCATTTCCTCCTGCTAACAAGTTAGACTGAAAGAACACCATATCTACTTTATCATACACTCTGCCAAGCCCTAATTGCACATGCCATGGCTCTGGTATGCTTAAAATATTTTTCCATGAGCCTTTTTGGAAACAGGCACAGAAAGGAAACCAAGAATGACATAAGAAGTATATCACAGGGAGAAATAATATGAAATACGACCTGGGATTCTTCCTAATATAATTTTGTTTTGCAAATTGCTACTGATGTTTAATTGTAATACTCAAAAATAGGAAGAAAATGAAAGGCAGGGGTTTCAAGTCCTTTGCAGGTGTTCTTGTATATGAAGGTTAGTAAATATGCTTGTGTGTAAAAATACTGCTGTGGTAAATGTATTTTTACAAAAAATAACATATAATGCAGGTTATATTAACTTGGTAGAAGGGAAGAAACTACTCACATAGACATACTGTGCTGTTAATCAGTGAAATACATTAATTCAAGTCGCGGGTGTTATCCTGTATACGATCATTGTGGAAATTATATACTTTTTAATGTTCCATATGTACATAGTTGTGTGTTAGAGGATACTAAAAACTTAGATGTGGGTTATGTAGGCCTGTGACAGGCATTTATAAGGAGTTTTGTTGGCACTGATTGCATATTTTCAAAGATATATTGGTTTAATTTCAGATGCATGTGCAGCTTGTGACTTTGGTTTTGGTTTGGGGATGATGGGATCATGTGCTCATACAATATCAAGAAAACTATTACAACTGGTTAAGAAACATACAGTAAACTATATGAACTCTATACAACTGCCACGTTGACATTCTTTACCTCTCTAACAGGCTATGTCTATGTCTATCTAGGTGCAGTGTGAGGTTGTGGTATGAAAAGGAACATAACTGTATTGAGGCAACATTTGGCCATGCTGATTAATCCTGCTGATAAGCAAGATAAAATTAATATGGGCATGGCATGGAATAAGTAATTGCCTTACCTGAACTAGGTCATCAGATCTAACTCATGAATTTTCATTCAGAGCTGCCATGTGAAGTGTAGGCTGTCAAGTCCTCCTTACCTGGACCTTGGCCAGCCACAAAGGAGTCTTTTAGAGCAGTTGTACTTTTGTTAGAAAGGATATAGGGCTACATATACCTTAGAACATCACGATTTTGTATGGGGTGTCCCCTCTCCATCCTTCTTTTGCTAACACAGAGACAGGACTAAGATATTTCATTCCGGATCAGACATACAGTTTCTTATAGTGTGGTGCTGTGGGTGGTTTATAAGTGATGGAAATGCAGATTGTATGTAGGATCTGCATTTATGTAAGCCAGCACACATGTAGGGATCAGCTCTTCTATTTGCACACGCATATATATACAAGAACATCTCTTGGCACCAAGTTTTAAAGGGAAGGTGTTTACACTGTGTGCTGAACTACTTGCTGTGTTGTGTGTGTGTCGCAGGTGTATTAATGTCAGTTGGCGCTGATTTCTCTCTGTTTTGTGTTCATTGAAGTGTCTGTGAATTGCCGGGTGGGATGGCTGGATCAGGCAGTTTTCTGTGTTCTGTATCAGCGCCGAGATACGGCGCTGAGGAAAGCTGGGATCTCACCCCACACACGGCGCTGAAATCACACCCTGCAGCTCATTCCTCCTCACGTTATCGCCGCGCGAGCCGGGGCTGAGTGTGCTGTCACTGGGATGTGTGCGACGGGAACGGGGGGAGCTGTGCAAAGGACATTGCTCGGTGCCAGCGCAGGGCAGGACCTCTGGGGAAGGGGACACGCAGGGACACGGCCCTCACCTCTGGCACTCGTGAGGGGTGAGGCTCCTGTCACGACAGCAATTGGTGCAGCCCTACAGAATCACTGTAGTCGCTGGGGTTGGAAGGGACCTGTGGAGATCATCCAGTCCAACCCCTGCCAAGGCAGGGTCACCTGGAGCAGGTGGCACAAGAACCTGTCCAGGTGGGCTTGGGGTGTCTCCAGAGAGGGAGAACCCACACCCTCCCTGGGTAGCCTGTACTCACACACTCACACTCTTGACTGCATGATTCTCCTGTCACGACTGAGTTAGGGGCCAGCACCACACTAGCAGTCTTGACCGGATGATGCTCCTGTCGCGACAGACTGCGCCAGCCCCACACACCCCCTTTGCCTGGATGGTGCTCCTGTCACGGCCGAGGTGGGGGCAACCCCACACTCACCCTTTGAATGAACGATGTCCCTGTTATGACTGAGGTGGGGGCAACCCCACGCTCACCCTTTGCCTGGATGAAGCTCGTATGACGACAGCGCTGAGGGCAGCCCTCACAGGACCGCTGGTGCTCCTGTCCCGACACGCGCCGGTGCAGCCCCGCGCCAGCACCGCCGCGACGCCTATCGCGACAGCGCGGCAGCAGCTCCCCCTCAGGGGGCAGCCCCGTTCCCCCTCGGGCGCGGGCTGAGGCCGGCACAAGAGGGCGGTTCGCGCGGGGGCAGCGGGGGCGGGAAGGCGGCCGCCGCACCTGCGGGGCCGTCCCGGTGCGCAGCGGAAGCGCGGCCGCCGCCGCATGAGGAGCCGAGCGCCGTGAGGGAGAACGGGCAGGACAGCGACCCACGCTGCGCAGCGGCCGCGCCACCGCCATCGCCTCAGCGCGGCGGGGCGGGGCCGAGCGCTGGCCCCGCCCCGCGCCGCGGTCCCGCCAATGAGCGGCGTCCACATGCCGCGGCGGCGAGCGCGGCCCGGGCGGCCCCCGAGTTACATTAGAGCGGCCGCCGCCGCTGCGCGCCCGGAGCGAGCGGAGGCAGCGGCGGGCGCGGGGGAGCCCCAACCGTGACGGCGACCAGCGGCCTGGGCCGGCCAGGGGGAGCATCGGGCCGCTAGAGAAGGGAGGGCGTGATTCCAACCCTTCGTGGGCAGCGGGGCGGCTGCGCCTTGTTCTTCCCCACCCCCCCGCGCCGTTATCGCCCTCCCGTTGCTGGAGGTGGCTCGGGGCCGCTGAAGGCGAGCGGAGAGGCCGCTCGGCCACCTGGACGCGGCCCGTCCCTGCAGGGACCCGCCGCGCCCCCGAGGCGACAGCGGCTCCGAGGGCCCGCGGCTCCCCCCGGCCGAAGCCCCTGGTCCCCGCCGGAGAGGCGGCTCGGCTCCCTCGGAGGCGTGTGGGGTGGGAGGGGGTGGGGGCTTTTTTTTTTTTTTTTCTTTTCGGCGGCTTTCCCTTTTTTCTCCAATTTTTTTTTTTTTCATTTTTTCCCTGCCCCTCCCGGCCTCCGCCGTGAGGAGTGAGGTGGGCTCGGGCTGCTCTGTCGCGGGAGAGGGTCTATGGTGGTAGCACGGGGGTGGTGAGGGCTGAGCAGGGGTCTCGCCGCCGCGCCCGCCGCCGCTGAGGAGGAGGAGAGGGAGGAGGAAGAGGCGAGGCACGGCACCATTTGCTGCTCCCTGCCCCGGCCATGGAGAACGCGCACACAAAGACTGTGGAGGAAGTTTTGGCTTATTTCGGCGTCAACGAGAGCACCGGGCTCAGCCTCGAGCAAGTCAAGAAGCTGAAGGAGAAATGGGGCTCCAACGGTAGGTGAGGCGGCCCCGCCGCCGGGATGCTGCCGCCGGCCTCGCCCTCTCCCCGCTCGGCTCCCTCTCCCACCCCTCTCTCCTCTCCCCCATCCTTCCCGGGGCCCTGTGCGAGGCCTAACGCGTGTGCACTGGCAAAGCCGGCATCTCTTCCAGGACCCGGAATAGGAGCGAGGGAGAGAAGATGGCTGACTTGAACTCCACCTCGTGGGTTTCTTTCAATCCCGAGCTCACAGGGCTGCTCTGGGGTGGAGGATGTCACCTCCGATCCCTTTCACCTTAACGGTGGGAAACCTCCTTCCATTCTGAATTGACGCCCCTTGGGGTTTAGTATTTTTATATTTTTTTTGTCCGTCTTGACCTTCATTTTTCTTCGCTTTTCAGTGCCTTTCTGCCCCTTATTTTATATTTTTCTCTCCAGTCGGGACATAGAATTCAGCCAATAAGGTTTTTTTGTTTTGTTTTGTTTTTTTAAATCCTTACTGCTTGGCCGTCCTAGTCCCTTCTGAACTCCCGTGCCGTTGTGTAAAATTGAAAATCTGTGAGAAGATTATACGCTGAAGGTGTTTTTTTTTAGCTTTAACGCTGCTTTTATGCCTCTTGGATTACTAAATCTTGTTGCGGGGAAATAAAGAGGAGAGCAGAAATAAGGAAATACCCTTAAAATGGAGGAAAGAATTTGAAAGGTTTTGAACCAAGTTTGATGGTTTGGGGTGTTTTTTCTAAGTGAATGTGGAGGAAAAGCTTTGTCAGAAAGCGTTTGAAAAGCCTTTTGAGCCTTTGACCCTTTGTGTGCAGCAACAGCACAAGCCCCACAGCTGGCTGGAGTGATGACTTGGCTGAATTATAACCCTTGGCACATTCCGGCGAACCTTTGTGTCTTAAAACGCAAAACTCTCGGGCCCATTCACGTACTGTGGTGAAAAGAGCCACCTTAATGTGGCTTTCAGTGTGTCTGTCAAATCCAGCCCAGCCGAGTGTGTAATTCAGGAACACTACCTGGCGGATGCCTTATAACGCTCTAACGTGTTTCTTCAATGATTTCTTTCCTCTGACATGCTTCCTGGAAAAACCTTCCACGGACAGAGTTGCCAGCTGAGGAAGGTGAGCATGTTTGTGAAATCTTCTCCTAATTCTTATTGATAATTCATCGTTTTTTATGAGGTACATGACTAAATGGCTTTGTTATGTATTGCAGGAAAAACCTTACTCGAGCTTGTGATTGAGCAATTTGAAGACTTACTAGTTAGAATTTTGTTACTGGCTGCTTGCATATCTTTTGTAAGTATGATTTATTCTTTTTAATTTCACAGGCTTCTGTATCTCAGAATGACATGTTCCAATGTATACAGAGAAAATTATTCTTTCTCAAAAGGCAGAATTATGAGATGCAAAGTAAATTGCTGTCTCTTAAATTTGTTCTTTGTGGTGGGGTTTCTGTAGGAAACAAAATTTCAGGAGAGTCTTTCATTGCATGAGTCATAAGCACGTAACTACACTAGACAGGTATGTTAAAAAGTGCTTTTCATTCAACCCAGTTTGGTTATTTGAGGTGGGATTTCCCAATGCTTTTGTTGGCTTTGAAAATTAACCTTGAGTAAGTAAGTGTTTAACTGGACATTCTTCTTGGCTTTGGGTTAATCGTTATCAGGCTCAATGTATAATCATTGGAAGACATTTTTGGATGCAATGCAGACTGTAAATAGAGCCTCTGTGGCGAATATTCCAGTTGCCTTCCCTTCCTGATAATAGCAAGGTGACAGTTGTTGCTTTTGACAGTGACAAGAATGATGACGGCTGTGATGGCACCATAGTTGACCAAATTTGGTAACTGACCTTTGGATAGTCAAGTCATTAAATGGACATCTTCCTTTGCATACAGGATTAAAGGACAAGAACATTTTAAACTTTTTTTTTAAAAAATGAGTCTTTCTGCATTATGCGTAATGGGCACGTGCTCGCTGGAAAACTGAGCCAAGGCTAAGTATAGGAAGAAGATGAAGTCTGTATGTCTTGGGGGAGCTGGGCAACAGAAACAGAAGTTTTCAGAATATTAAATTATTTAGGTAGGAGTAAAAGTTTACAGTAGACTTTGCCCTGAAGTTATAATTAACTACTTTAAAAAAAAAAAATAAATGCTGCAGCTCTTGGGGGCAGTGGAAATTGTGGTGACTCTTTAGCTGAGGGCAAACTAATTAGGATGGGCAGAGGAGAATGTGCTCTGAGGCAGTTGTGTTTGATGGGGGAAGGTTGCCCTGGTGTGGTGCTGCAGTTTGTGCTGTGCTGGTGACCCGCTCTCCCCACAGAGACCCTTCTCAAAGGGCTTTGGTTTTGGTCTGCAATACACCATTACCAGCTGAGCAATGACTGCTGACATCAGTCTTGACCATGGAGACAGATGTACTTTACTCACTGTTCTGTTTCCTGCAGAGGAAATCAGGCTGGTTATAGAAAATTGAATAAACGGTTATTCAAAAGCTTTTTTTCCCCCCTCCTCTTTGCCCTTTTCCGCTCCCAGAGGGTGAAAAGGGGATGTATTTTTGTTCCTGAAAAGTCAGCAGTGTTGCTGTCATCTCATGAGGCAAATGACACCATAGAAGTTTGATAACCTTTCGTGCCAAGGTGCATTAATTGTTTTTATTTTAAGCCAGTAAGTGAAAAATCAAATTCACCAAACTCTAAGCTTTCATTGGTGAATCTGAGTAAGTATGAGACCAGGCTGACAGAGGTCATAGAACATGCACTGCTGAATCCTCTTGGAAAACTTGATTAGTAGCTGAATTCAGTTGCTTTTTTCAGTATGGTTAATTTTCCTATCTAATTAAGAGGAGACTGTAGTCTGATGGAGTGTGGGATAGATCTGGGTTCTCTGCTTCTGTGCAGCTGACATGGTATATGACCTTGGGCTACTGCTCTGCTTTTCCTGTCTCCTATTTTAGTTATGGATTCACACTAAATTGATGTCAGTAGTAAAGATTTTCTCTGTTTAATGAAATGTAGAAAAATCCCTAGATGTATTATAATTTTGGTACTTCAAAAGCACTTTTCCTTTGCATTTGTTTCTGGCTTTTTCCTTGCTCAGAAGGTGATTCTCTATCTTTTTTAGGTTTTAACACTTCTTGATGAAAGCTTTTTTTTTTTTTTGAGACTTTTGCAGTAGCTGTAAGGAACTGTTGGGTCTGTTGATATAAAGATTGTATTACTGCAAAAATAGAAGTAATTACATCACTTAGATTCTGGTGTCCTTTACCAGCTGTACATTGTCAATTTAAGAAAATGTTGAAGATTCAGGTATGAGAGAGAGGATCTTAAAGTCACTGCTTTGTGTTGTGGGAGTTTTTATAGTGATGGTGTTGCAGTCATAAATCATATTAGTTTATTGCTATTAGAACTGGCTGCACAGAAGCAGCCATCTGTAACAGAGATCTGCATTAGGTTTTTGTGCAGAAACATCCCCTCTTCTCTCCAGTATAAACTCCTGTGTTCAGAGCTTTTGTGCCTCTGCTCCCACTCTGCCTGTCAGGGACGTGTCAGTGAAACAACTCAGAGCAGCAGCTGGGTCTGTGTCACCCCGGCTGATGGTTGGGGGCAGATGCTGCTGTCTGTGGGCTGTAGGTACCACGTCCCACATTCCAGGTGAGACCTGCTGTTACAGATGTGCTGGGTAGTGCAAGCCTTAAATCTGGCCTTTGAAGAGAAACAATATAAATAATTTCTGATGG